GTGTCCGTGAGGGTGGAGGAAGACGCAGAGCGACCCAGACTAGCTCCTCGACCTGCCGCTCCATCTCTTTTTACGGCCTACTTTATTGCTTAAATGTGGGAATTAACACGCCGATTACACCCCAAATTTATAGCAGCCTCGATTCACAAAAGCAGACCGTCGGCGTAAAATGAGCAGGACTTCTTCCTGAAAAGGCCCTTTTATGAAACAGCCACGGCGGTAGGGGAGGGGAGGGTATTGGCGCCAAGCTCGGTCTATCATCACCGCGACCGCCTGACAGCTTTCGGACAGAGCCGCAAACGGCCCGCTGGGAAGCACACGGGTCGAATGCAGACCCAGAGGAAGGGAACGTGTCCGGAATGGCAGCCAAAGGTGGGGAGGGATGCGACTGCGGCTTCAATCACTCGTCCAAGGACACAGTTGGAACGCGTGGACCTGCCTGGGAACACCTCTGCCTGGTCCCTCGTCACCGAAAGCCGGATGTGCCAGATCCCTCCTCTGCGGCCCTGGGAGGCACGAGTGCAGAGCCGCTAAATTCATTACACCTGTCACATCCGTTAGGCGCTAAGCCTGTAAGACCTGCGAAAACTTGTATTTGTTGTTCCCGTTTAATATATCACATGTTAATAGTGTTTAACTTGTCACATTTTCATGCCTGTACAAGCTGATAAGCTTGTCACGGCTGCTGAGCAAATTTGAAGCTATCGGAGAGTTTGGTGGCTAATAATGGCTTGTAAACTAGGTTGTTGGGTTACGCTCTAGGAGGGGCTCTGGTGGTGTAACCCCTGCAACGGGATCACCCTGCCTCCCCTTAATATGGCTCACATCCATGGCTCTATCTGAGGTACTGAGTCAGGTGTTACTGAACTGCTGAATTGCTAGGGATCCCAGTGGTTTTCTGACTCTGTTCTCTGCTTGTGATTTGGACTTGGCTTTATTGCTCTGGGTTGGTAGCACATAATCTCTGGTGCCTGTCATCAGTACTGGTTGAAGTCCGTTTGCTGAGCTGAGCCCAGGCAAACTTCAGCACTGGTGCTGCCCATCAGTGCCCCTTCAGAAGATGGGTAGACTGGCACTTCTCATTCTTTCCTCCCGTGAATCATTAAATCTGTGGGCTCTGCACTTGGGTCATTTGTGGTTCCGCTGAGGAAGGACCTTGACCTGAATTTTACCAGGAAAGCGTTGTGCTGCATAAACAAAGCTACTTTGAATAAGTGCCAGTTAAGCAATTATATCAATTACCTTAGAACCACTTATTTAATGCTAAGCAGAGTCAGGGTGAGCCGTCAGCCCATCCCAGAAGACAGTAAGCATGAGGCGCGGGACACCCAGGTCGAGATACCCCCCAGCTCAGGCCCCGTGCACTCACTAATGGACAAGGGGACACCCAGGGCGAGATAACCCCCATCTCAGGCCCCGTGCACTCACTAATGGACAAGGGGACACCCAGGTCGAGATACTCCCCAGCTCAGGCCCCGTGCACTCACTGAGGGACAGGGGACACCCAGGGCGAGATACCCCCCAGCTCAGGCCCCGTGCACTCACTGAGGGACAGGGGACACCCAGGTCGAGATACCCCCCAGCTCAGGCCCCATGCAGGCAGCACATTTATTCTCCCGATCTTCATGTCGCTGGACTGTGAGCAGAAATCCACACAAACATGGTTAGACTCAGAACTGAGCTGGGGACAGAGAGTTCAGCCCTGTGGGTATGAGGCCGTGTCCCTTCCTATTACGCTACCGTGCAACACCCCAAGCAATTAAAGAGGGTAATATCATAAATAAGAGCCATTACACCTGTGAGACGCCCATGAGCAGCCCCCTGGGGGGCCGTGAGCCGCTTGGCGATCGATCGGTGCCCTCACACATATGCGTAAGGAAAAAGGCACTCTGGCTTCCCCCTCCTCTGGTTTACAGTCTCTAAACGTGTTTAATTGCTGCCAACTGTGAACTATGGCTGTGTTTGTTTAATATATGGCATTTATGCTTAACGTGTAGCTCCTTAATAGGCGATCTCAAGGTATTTTGCCCATAAATTAACCTGGATATAATATACCTTTCTTTATGGCATGGTAATGTTTTGGTCACAAGCCCAGATGTGCCGCACTAAAGGAATAATTCTTGTGTTTAGCTTTCAATCTAGGCTCTTCCTATCTGTTCACCTTGATCGCAGCCAGGAATGACCTCAGGTGGAGTCAGTGTCGAACCCCCATCTGGGGGCCCATCTGGACGGACGTCAGAGCGCAGATCAGTCTCTAACGTGGCCACGTTTCCACGCAACATCCCAGAATGTGGCTGAGTTACTCCAAATCGGGGCTGCCAGCCGGCTGCCGTCGTGCGAGGTCCCGGGGTCAGGCTCCTGTAGGGAGGAGGGCACCTCGCACATCCCGGCATCCACAGAGCTAAAGGTTAGCGGATGTGCGTGGAGTCCCGGGTTTGTCATCAAAGGGAATGAATGATGGATACGAGAGGAGGGGGAGAGCTTTAGAAGGCGGGCAGTCCGAGCTGCACTCCAGGGCCTGTGGGGCGGCCTTCAAGCCCAGTGCCCGGGAGCAGCACGCAGCCTCCAGCTCCGGCCGCCGCGCCGCACAGAGAAGCCGGCTTCAGTGAAGGAGGCGCGTCGGATGTTTCCGGAGAATTCCGTCTTTAAGGAGACGACTGCCTAATGGCTGAAATGAGGCGGCCGGCAAACAGACATCGAGGCCTTCAACAGCTCCGTGATTGGATGCCCTGGTGAGGCAGCGAGGAACGTGTGTGTTTCTGAGTGTAAAACCTGGAACCAAGAGTGATCAGGGAAAAGCAATTCCAAATGCTCCTTCACAGCCATTTGCTTATGGTTAACATCTTGCAACATCTTGCGTTTTTAAGCAGCTACAGAGACTATAGCTGAGGGCCGTTTATAACCTGTACTGCTAAGGAGTGGCTGTTAATGTTGCTCATGTGCATTAACATTCCATTCAGTATGACCGGGGTTCAAGACCCAATTCTGTATGGGATGCAATGTAAAATATTGTTTAAGGGGATAAAAGTGAATATAATTTGCCTTTCATCATTTTCAAAGTAGCTTACGGCGGCTCGGCTTGAAATTGTTGGCTAGTTTCATAACCAGGGAGAAATGGGGGAAGAAAGGCGGCAAACAGCTGGGAAATGGGCGGGAACAGGAAAGGTAACGCAGATGAAGGCTGACTCCCCGGTCCAGCCTCTCCCTCTCGCTCCCCATGCTATTAATGAGCAGGATTTCACCAGGTCTGGCATCTGTGGCATCATGCTCCGAGGCAGCAGCCGCCTTCAGTCAGACCTGCTTCTTCCTGCCTAAGCTGGGGATAAACGGCAGACGCAGGAAACCGCGTGTGTGTGTGGGTCTCTGTGTCTGTGTCTGTGTGTGTGTGTGTGTGTGTGTGTGTGTGGTCCTGGTATACCTTACTTTGTGGGGACCAAATGTCTGA